TAAAACACAAAACACAACAAATTGGCATACAGCGCGCAGAGGGACGATCGAGGAATGCTTCGGAAAGCTACTGAATACTGCTAAAAAACCGCTTCTTGCGCTTTGTTTGCGCTTTATATTCCATTCGGCGAGTGGAACATCCTCATGGACCGAATTTTCTCACGCGTCGAGTCCTCGTATTTATCGTTTCGACCTCTCGTCCGCGAGCTCACCGCAGTCAATTTCTGAAATCTATCACGTTCCGCGAGCCTGAACGCGTCCGACGAATGTCAACACGCTTGCACGCCCTGCAGCCTTGTAAATTTCGGATACTACATATTAATATGCTCGTGTATTGTCGTTATTGCGCACCGGCTAAAATATTACGCGCAGCTCGATCACACTTAAACAAACAGATATACATACATTTGGCAGTAATTTTATGTATATTAGTCGATTTTTGAAGTTCCCGCAGATATTTAACGCAGTTTTCGAGCTACTGAACAGTTATGTTAACTTTTACTTAGTAACTGAAGAGTGAAATTATTTGGAATCCCAATCAAAATGTAATGCTTTTACAGCACTTTTTTAGCAGCCACTGTATATAAACGGTGCGCAAAATTTGAACCCATTTATTGAATGCAAACAGAACAGGAAATGGAGAAAAAACTACTAAACTAATTAATAATCAGATCTGTTACTTATAAAATGATTGAATTGTCTCAGGTCATTGTATACAGAGAAAAAGATGTGTGGTACTTGTATAATCACATAGAAAAATAATTATCGTAAATTCTGGTCAAGAAAACTATTTTTTAAAATTAAATTCTATTGTAAGATTAGTGATAATAATTTTATATACCTGTTACTATTACCATTTTCGTGTTGGACCATCCAAAAAATATAGTTGGGACCAAACATAATTATAATTTTCGTTTAAATTAACCATTCTTTTCTTCCAGTAATCATGAAAGTTTATCCAGATAGATGGGGTAGAAGTCTGAGTAGAACATCTATATAAAATTCCGTTCCGTTTAATAGCGCGAAATGACGGAACATATCTCGATACTTTAGCATTATATAATCGTTTGGTTGCCAAATAAAAACTAAAAAAAAATATGTAAAAGAAGCATTCAAAGTGTAGCATTCGCGATATGGCGCGGACAGCTTTTCGCTCGCCACGCTCGTTAGAGGATTCATCCTCCTCCCGCGGGATATTTTGGCTCACATAGCGCGGATAATCCGGCTTAGTGTCCTCTACGACGTGAATGAGAACGGCGTCTCGTTTATCGCGAGCGAATGCGTCGCCGTCAAGCCGATCCTGTCTTTCCATGCTCGCGCCTGAAATTTGGGAACGAGACGAGTCGTCGCTCTCTTTTTCTCTCTTTCTCCCTCTTTTTCTCTCAGCATACAGTAGGCAGATGCCACCTGAAATCCCGCTACCTTCCTTCGAGATACCTTTCGCGTTCCGAGACGATCGGCCGGATCTTTTTGAGGGCCGGCTTTGATCGATGCATCCGGCGTCTTCTAGAACGTGGCGGTTTATCGAGATTTCGTTGGATCTCTTAATTAAATGTATCTATGATGTTCGTAATTGACCCTTTATACGTATATCTTTAATGTATGTATTTTTCAAATAGAAATAAAAAAATATATAAATATAAATTTGGAGAAATTTTTTTTATAAATTTATATATATATATATTTTTTTCAATTTTTTTATATGTTGTATTTTAAATGTATTTTTTAATGTGTTCGTATATATACGTTATATACGTCATATGTGTGTGAATTCTAATTTTCCTTTATTCTACAAAGTAAATTTTATTGGAGATGTAAGCGATTCGTTAAAAGTTAACAGCAGCACGAACAGGTGCATTTTCCTTCTCGCTTGATGCGAGGAGGTGGACAGCCGAAGATTAGATACGCTCATTGTTCGCTATCGATAGCGACTGCCCACTTGATAGCTCGTAGGTACAAGACGTAACGGGACGTTTTATCTTACATACCATCGTCTCAAAGCAACGTTTCAGCTTATTAATGCGCTCTTTTAAACTCGACGAATTTATGTCGCCTAATTAGGGTAATGGAATCTTCCTCAGTAATTTAGTCGTGAGAAACTACTTATGTCGAGGTGCGCCCATTAGTTGGAAGGTACGTAACGGGCGTTTTTAAATATTCCGGGATTTACACTCATCGCGATGAAACTTGGGAAAAATATGTGAGTCCAGGTAATTTACAGAAGTCAGTCGAATATCGAGTGCCTTTCGAGAGGGACATATAAAGATGATGTAGATAGGACTTGCGAACCAGCTTGTTATCTACTCATTACGACGGAATCGTCTCTTGGTCTTTGAAAAATCGTTTGATATTTTTGAAGAAATTGTTTTGAAACTGTAAAATTTATAAATTGCCCTCACTGCGAGTTTAATGAATTTTAACGCGAGCGATGACGCTTAGCAAGTGAATGGGAATGCACAGTCATTTGCAAAGATTGAGACACTTTTTTAGACAAGTTTATACAACAAGTTTATATACAATGATACTTACACTTCTGCTTATGAATTACTTTCGTGTATAATTCGTATTTAAAAATTTGATAGTTTTCAAACTCAGTGCTCGACAGTTTTTAACACTGCACAGTTTTTACATGCACAGAAAAATATCGTTCTACCGCTAAAAAAAGCGATTTCTCAGTTTACTTTTCTTGTTTGAAATAATGGTTATCTTCAACAGAGAATATTAGATAATAGTTTTGAAGTACATTCATGACAAAATACACTTATGACAAAGCTCATTATCAAGAGAAGAATTTGTTTTCTTCGCAAGAACGTTATACAATTTTATTCAAGAAAGAGTTGGTTCGACTCTATGTAGTGAACAAATTTTTGTTTTAATTTAATGTCCTTGATTGAAATACTGAACTTACTAGGAATGAGAATATCTTTGAATAAATTTGGCGTTTATGACGAATTTATGACAGATTTGCGGATATATAAACTTATGAAATACTTGAAACAAGTAACACTCGAATGCAGTATGTAATTTTTTGCGTGCAGAAGCTCGCAATCTTGTTAAAAGCTCGCAGATTTATAAACCTGTCCAAAATAAAAGTGTCGCAACCTTCATGCAAATGATTTTACGTATTTCCGACGAAACTACACTTTCCAGTTTGTTCGTTTCAGTACGATCGTCTCGCAATTTAAAAGTCTAGAATCTCAGTGCGATCTCTCGCGTGGAATCTCGAGGCTATACTCGAGAAAAACACGGTCGCGCGTAACTTCCATTAAAACCGGGTTACATAGCGGTGGATCTCGCGCTTCATCCGAAAAACCCCGAGCCAGGATTTTCTAGGATCTCTCTCGCGACGCCTCGCCGCGCTGATGTGTATGCACCTGTGTATCTCGCGCGCTCTTCTTCGTCAGGTGAATATAATTCTTCGGTGAACGCGACGAGTCCCTCTCGAGTACGTTCCCAGCTTCGCTGGCGAACCGATGCGGCATAGCCGTCGGTTTCTGGCTCGGAGGAGAACGAGGTCCGCTTTTTATTCCAGGGAACGCGCCTCGGAAGCCTCCAGCGCGCGTCCACCGTCTGACAGCGGCCGGGATTGACTCGTGCACGTTTCTATTCCAACCTTTCAGGATTCTACCAGGTGTCGTCGACGTGACTCGCGCTCAGGCACCGCGTCGCAATGAGCACGATTCGCAACTCGAGCTCGTCTCAGGAACGGGAACGATTTTCGATTTTCCGTGTCCTTGCGAGAAGTGGGATGACGAGTTGCTCGCGAGTCGTGTTCGATTCTCGTCGCGCAAATCCCGGAATTTTAATATTAACGCTGGAAACATACCTTGTTGGAGTTTTATTCTAGACGTATAGCGAACGTTAAATATGCCCTTTTAATTCCCAGATTCATTTTTCTTATACGAGCGTCCTGTGCACGGAGAGAATTTTATAGTAAATATTACTATGGAATTTTGTAATTCAAAAATAAACCGACATTCTGCAGTTCCCTTTCATTTCATTTCACATGTGCTTAGATTTGAAGAACTGAAACATGCTATGTTTTTAACAAAATTTATTATACCTTAGCAAGATAGATCTTACTGACAGTTCACTCTTGGAATACTGAAAATAGAGTAAAATTGATAAGAATTTATATGAAGGAAAGGAAAAACTATAATATTTCCTCCGTGTGTGACGTTGTTTCAGCTTGAGAATCAAAAAGGCACATTTAGCGTACAAACACGCGTCCAGATTACTGATAGACTCTGATCTCTCGAGAAATCTACGGATTATTTTCAGCGCCATATGCGAGGACGGAATGTCCTTTTAATTACCGAGACCGAATACGCACGAATGAGCGAGATACGAATCTAATAACAGTTGCATGATAGTCTGTAAGTGCGGCCGCTTAATCGAGCAAACGATCTAATCGAACTGTACATGTTGATCGGGGGTCTAGGCAGATGTTTCCTCAGATGAAGTTCCGAGTTTCCGGTCTGGACGCCAAGGCTAAGTACATCCTTCTGCTGGACATCGTTGCCGCCGACGACTACAGATACAAGTTCCACAACAGGTAGAGGTTTTGCGGGGTGTAGGGCGAGCGAAGACACTCGTAAAAATATAATCGTCGCGGACAGTTCGTGTTTTAACGATCTCGAGAGTTTCCCCGACTGTGTTACACGTTAGCTCTAAAAAAATATTGCAGCACCGCGATATTTCTTCAGTTTTTGTTTTGGAAAATTCAATCTTTTTTTTTGTTTGAATATCGTAAAAAAGAATTCTACGATGTATAAGACGATTTTTCAACGGAAATTAATCCACACGGAGAGATCTTTAAGACCGACTGTCCGATTAAAGAGAGTAGAAGGAGCAGCGTGCAACGTAATGCGAAAATATAACACGTTTTACGCGCGCGATTCCCATTTTCTCCCATGGGAACAACGAAGAAACTCAGCAGTGAACGATAGAACTAACGTATGCTGTGTTTGTCTTTTTTGCGATTGCAAAATTGTTCGCAGACGCATGTTTCCCGCGTATAAAGTGAGGGTGTCCGGATTAGACAAGCGGGCTAGCTACATACTTCTAATGGACATCGTGGCATCGGACGAATGCCGATATAAATTTCACAGCAGGTGATATCCCTGACCCTCCGCGATCAGAGCGATCCTGGGTCAATCTCTTTCCGAATTACGACTCAAAATCATCGTGCTGTCGTATCGTCCGGTGAATCGGACGATGCTTTCGATCGGACGCCGAGTATCTCTTACTCGGAAGTGAAATCGAGTGATTTTGGAGATCACGTTTCGAAGCGATGATCCTGGATCGATCTTGGTCGTATCATGTTATCTTTTTTATCAAGAGCCTCTCCTGAAATAAGTGTGGAGCGTGCGCTGCGAACAATTCCTCATACTCGTCGAAAATAATTTATTCGTAATTCTGCATGCCGCTCATCACGATTGCGAATCCATGAAATCGGTTAGTCTCCCTCCCGCCGCGTATAACCCGGCTAGAATTCTATCCCATGAATCAGATAGATCTCAATCAATTATCTGGTTGGTAAGATGATATTATCGGGTCCTAATTATTAAGAACGTCATAATTATTAATAATCCTTATTATTAATAAGGTTCTAATTGCTAGGTTGTGTTACATGACTTATCAGGATCCGATAACATCTTGTGTCTTACACAAATCAAATAACTGATCGGAATCAACCTGACCAGAGCGATGAGATAAATTTCTAGTCGGGAACAGTTTCGACATCTGATTCCTGCGCTTTTCTTCTCGTGTAAGAAATCGATCACATACGGTGTTCCGAGTGCTAATTCCCACGTGCTTACTTATTAGATATCTCTTATCGGCATATCGTCGTTTTGTGAGTGAAATAATAATCGCACGTAAACGCGTTTAATCTTCTCGTAAGAAGTCATTATATAGGGGAAGACCCATGGGAAATTATTTCGACTTGTATGGGGATCGCAAGCCTTCACATTAGCTAACCGAGACGCCTCGCAAATTTCGTGCCGCTGCATTTCCTATAATTATATCGCGTATGTTCAATGAAAATTGCTGAAATATATATATATATATATATATATATATATATATATATATATATATATATATATATATATATATATA